AGAGTAGATGTATTAAGATGTATCTAAAATTCATGTGAAGGGTAACCTAAGAAATATGGTTCTCTTCAAACAGGAATAATTCCTGGGGGGTCGAAAAAGGATATGGTCATTTATTTTAGATAGAGCTGCATCCACGGCTTGCGAATCGAATCTGGCAGTCATAGAGGCCATGCTTGACATCATAGTTATAGAATTCTATTTGGCAGATCAAGAAGCATATAGGAATACGAAAATGCAAATGGAGAACCACTTTAATGACACTTGGGTTGATTCATTAAAGTGAGAAAGTCGCTTGGTTAGCGTAAGTAATGTTTACTCGATTGGCGCGATGTCTGTGGGCGCATGTGGTGGTGAAATATTAGTCTATACAGATCTATATTCAAATCTGGGTTTACCCCACTTATAATTTGCAACAGATACTCAACCTGATCACCGTACTCAAGGATCTCCACAAGACCCCGGTTGATCTTGTACAGATGCCAGTGCTTACAGTAGAACGCCGGAGGCGTCGAAAACCAGGCCTTCGTGAGCATTTTACCAGAAGCCATCGGCGTCGGAGACGAAAGGGGGAGCGAGAACAGCAGCCAAAAACGCGGCAACTTCCTGGCCAAGTCGGGCTTGCTATTTCTTCCACTGAAGGCATTCGTCACGGAAACACTGTTCATACAGAGCCCAGTTTGGGTACGAATATTTGCTTCTCTGACATTGGACGCCAACGCCAACGCGGGCATTGCCAGCTAGCCGACGTTCTTGTCCACCACCCACCACGACTAACCTCATCAACTAGTGGAATTTCTGTCTCTAAGCCTCGGCGACGTGCTCGAAGTCGGGGAGAAACATCTAACATTCGGGCAAGGCCATGTGACAGAGCGCCAAGAGGAGCTGATTATGCCATTGATGCTCGTGGGCGATCATCTTCAGAGGCCTCCACCCCGGTGCCAGGAGGGGCTAGAGAGTTTAATGCCACAAGCCAGAGACGACAGTCACTAAAAAGCCTTGATGCAATACACAGATCAGCATTCTCCCTATCTAAGTACATTGCATTGTTATGTAGTATTAAAAGTATGCTTTCTATCCAACATTACGAGAATGGGTTTCATTCTCGACA